AATACCTCAGAAGCTGATCCGGCTAGTCAGGACTCTCTACGAGGACTTTCAGTGCTCCGTGATCGATGAGAACGAAACAACAGAGTGGTTTCCAGTAAGGACAGGAGTGAAACAGGGGTGTTGCATGTCAGGTTTTTTGTTCCTCCTTGTGATCGACTGGGTAATGCGCAGGACTGTGGAAGGTGAAAGAACTGGGCTCAGATGGAATTTAACGACCATGCTGGAGGACCTTGACTTTGCAGATGACATTGCCCTTCTGTCTTCAACAATGAATCACCTGCAGCAAAAAACAACCAGGTTAGAGAGTAATGCGGCAAAAGTGGGGCTAAAACTGAATGCCAAGAAATGCAAGATATTGAAGGTCAACAGCGGGAGCAACAACAAGCTGAGGGCTGGAGAGAGCGAGGTGGAGGAAGTGGAGAGCTTCACATATCTGGGTGCAAACGTCACTAAGGATGGTGGGAGCACAGTGGATGTGAGGAGGCGAGTGGCAATGGCAAGCACGCAATTCAAAAGACTAACAAACATCTGGCAAGCCAGAAACATCAGCAGAAAGACCAAAACCTCCCTGTTCAAGAGCCTGGTTCTTTCAATTTTGTTATACGGATGTGAGACCTGGAAACTAACCAAGGGAGAAGAGAGAAAACTAGATATCTTTCAGACCAAATGCTTACGGAAGATTTTCAAGATCCGATGGCAGCAACACATCTCAAACAAGTCGGTTCTTGATATGACAGAAGTGGAGAAAATCAGTGATGTGGTGAGGAGACGGCGGTGGAACTGGGTGGGCCATGTGTTGAGGAAGGACAGAGCAAGTGACTGTGCTGTGGCCCTCGGGTGGGCACCTGAAGGAAGGAGGAAGAGAGGACGCCCAAAAACAACTTGGAGGCGAATGGTGGAAGAGGAGATAAACCAAGCAGGCTGGAACTCTGTGGAACATAGCACGGCAGGCAGCTGCAAACCGGACCCAGTGGAGGAGTGACGTCCAAGCCTTGTGCGCCTTATGGCGCGGAGAGAACTGAACTGAACTGAACTGAATTAAGTTGATTCCCTAAGTTCCCTAAACACTCATCGCTCATCATAATTATGTAAGATAATTCCCTAAACACTCATCATAGAAGCATAAAACATACTGACAAAATAGTCCTAACATTTGTAAAAAATGTAACACAAACAGAATAGTATTTATAATTACTAAAAATACTGTTAAAATTGAAATGTAAGTAAAGATCCCGTACAACAAATTATTCAACATTTAAGCATTCAATATTCCTTGCGAAAGAATTTGACTACACAATTTGAAAATATTTATAACGACAATAAAGTTTCGAAAAAATTTCTCTATTTTCATACATGCTATGTTTAACATTTGTTCAGTTTTACTTATTGCTCCAAAGTATAATGAGTCCAAAAATTCATGTCCCCTTGATTTCCTTTAATTAATCCACAAGTCCAGTTTTTTCAAACTTGCATCGTAGATTCAGGAATAACTTTAAAGGGATACTTGTATATTAGCGATAGTATAATTACTAAATAACTTGCAGTAAATTACTAATGAGAAATGTTCTTACTAATGAGAAAATGAACTTACAATTTAGTGGCACATGAATGGTATAGATACAGAATATACCGCTGCATAACTGATTTTTATTTCAAATTAATCGATACAAAGGAAAACTAAAGAAAAGAAGTTGAACTCTCATTGACGCAAGCAACACAAAAAATAATTGAGGAAACGTAATTCTTCTTGCCGAACCCTAACATACCCGGGTTATTTGTAGCCGAATTCTCAACAACTGCCACATTTTGCAAAGGAAATTCATTCTATTATTACCAAATTATCAACGATAAATTTGACAAATCACCGGTGTGTTTAGAAATCTAATTTATGGTCACCTCAAAAGGGAATGCAAATATTATGATTAAGTATCATCAAGTAATTTACGAGCACAAAACACCTCTTCGATCACCTTAAACACAAGTCGATGAAAGACCCTTGCGCTCATCACAGGCCTTGATCTTGATGTTAATTTCGAAGCGTCACGAATGTGCAGCGGAGCGCAGTTTTAAGGGCCAAAAGTTTACTGTAGATCATCAGTGGCCTAAATTAACCTTCACTTCAAGCCTGGCCGGGGACACAATCATTGAGAATGATTAAAACTATCATCGAGAATGGTTAAACTATCTCAAGATGTGAGGGACGAGCCTTCGTTTGTTTAACTTTAGCACCTCAAATGATGACTTGCGTTGCGATTGAGAGTGGAAACCGCTGGTGTCAATGTACGTGAGTGACGTGTCATAGAATTTCATAATTATTTGATTCTCCTTCATTTGATATATGTACTAAATAATAGTATTTGTTCTTCAATGTTAAATGTAAATTGAATGTGCAAATACACTGCTTGATTAGGAAACAATCCGTAACAAGCCTACATGATTTAAACTCAGCTGAGGGCGGTCAGTTAGGGATAACAACCTATAAGGTAGTTCTTCTCAGTTCGAGAAAAATGCAGCCCGATAGCGAAAATTTTTATTTTGACTCTCATGGAGGATATCTCTTTATGCAGGAGTGATGTGTACATCGAAAAACTTTTAAGATAAAGTGAAGCACCTATAAATTATGCAACAGAACATTTTATAATTAACAGTCGAAGCATAAATACCATGCAATATGCGTCGTAGTTGCAATACGCGTTGTAGATAGATGACCTGTAGAGTGCAGACATATGTTAAGTATATATATGACCTGCAGTTCATGGTAGATATATGACCTAAGTAGCACTGCGGACTGTCGTCTTGCATGCATATATAATCGATAAAGGCTGATGTAAAGTAGCAGTTTTTCGTTTTCTTTACTTAGAAGTAATTTCAGGCGAGTGAAACTTGACAGCTCCACTTCAAAGTCTCAATTTGATCGTGTTTGCTAGAGCCTCCAAGCAAACACGACCAAAACATCGATCGTCTCCTTCAACTTAGGTTTTATCAACTCAGTTCTTCGCGCCAAACTGATCACGGCAGCGACGGTCGCCGCGGATTAAGCAGAAACCTCAGATCTTGAAGGCGCAACAATATTTTTATTAAGGGTGAATTCTGCGTACTTTTTACTTTTAGTTCAGAAAATCGAAGAGATAATACATTATTTTGGAATTCTGCGTACTATTAGTTCAGCAAGTCGAAGAAATAATATGATATTTTGATGTCCAATTCATGAGAGTTCGTGAAAACTTGTATACTATACGCGTGCACGAGTGACTTTTTCACGAAAAGGCGCACGTTTTTCATTATGAGTATTTAGCGAGGTTTGGGATCAATTCTGCTGTCGACATCTATTGGTTGATGCATTTTGTATACATCGCCTGATCTTTAAAAGATCATTTTATTTGTTTTAAATAAGCTTGTAAGTGCCATTATTTTTTTTGCGAACATTATTTGCAATAATTTTTTTTTGGAAAACCCTTCGTAGATTATCAAATGAGAAGAACAAATGAAACTTTAATAACTAGATAATGTGAAAATGTGTGTTTATTTCCTTTTGCCAGGTCGTCTGCATTATTTGCATGTTTTCGACACCATCATTGATTTTGAAATATAATACTGTGACGAACCGATAGAAAATATTCGAAGCACCGTCTACATCACCTCTGAAGTTAAGCATGGATCATTTCGCCAACCTATGACAGGACGATATTGCGAAACACTTCCTTATTGGATACCAAGCAAAGCGTTACCCTGAACGTGATTTCAAGTACAAATAGCAACAATGACATTTAACGTATTTTAAAGATTAACGGTATTTAAAGAAATAATGATAAATGGATGGGAATGGAGAGAGCTAGAGCTCAGAGCGAGGATATGAGAAGTGTGTGAACCCTGGCGTAGGAGTCAAAAGTCTTTAAATGTAGGAATAAATACGCCGGTTGAGATCAAACAGCCAAAACTGTCGGCTCAGGTCCGGTCATACTTAATCTTTGTCATCTAAATGCAAGAAATAGGAAATTTGTTACCTAAATTATCACAAATACTTTGAAATTTCAAAAACCTGCAAAAAGTACGCAATGAAAATACGGTTAGTTTGAGCACAGGAAAATTTAGTTCATTTTTTGCAAAGCAAAAAGTCCCAAACACGTGTAAGGTTTTAAAATTAAACAACGTTGTCAGAAGCAGCGAACGATTGATGAAGCTGTCAACTTTCCAAATGAATAATTCTAGAATGCTGGACTTTTTTATAGCTCTCAAACAAATGTTCGACGTGAGTCCAACAGCTGTATTAATGAATGTCCAAAAGCTGTATCGTTCAGTTTAAATCAAACGTGTCAAGCGGGCCGTTTTATATAACTATGAAAGTAGCTTGCTTTGGCCAAATGAGCTTTAATTGTGATGCAGGCTTGCAGCCGTACTAGGAACACTCAGTTGAGCAAACATACCGGAATATTCATTAATTGTCTTTGATCTTGAAAAACTATCAGTGATACCTTGAATGCTATCAGTGATACCTTGAAAAGCTGTCAGTGATACCTTGAAAAGCTATCAGTGATACCTTGAAAAGCTATCAGTGATACCTTGAATGCTATCAGTGATACCTTGAAAAGCTATCAGTGATACCTTGAATGCTATCAGTGATACCTTGAAAAGCTATCAGTGATACCTTGAAAAGCTGTCAGTGATTCGCTGGAGGACTTACGAACTCGTAACAAATTTTGATAGCGCGGCCTCTGATCAGATTGGGTTGAACTTTAACCGCCAGATTTTGGCTGCCATCAGTCCGCGGACAGTGGTCGGAAAAACCGCCTTTATGCCAATAAACCAAAAGATAAATTTGTATTTTAGATTTAACCTATGTAGAGCCAAATAATTGTTTAATCAGTCTCCTTTACACCAAATATGTCTACTTCTGAGACTTAATTCGAAATAAAAATGTTAAAAGCCTAAAATTCATCTTACGCTTCAAATAGATTTCGATGCAATAATTTAATTATTACTTAAATTAATAATGTCCACAGATGGCCTCTCTGAAGCCTCTGACTCTGTTGATGCTGAGCTGCGCTCTCTGCTTCGTCCTGGTGACATGTCAGCCCAGACGCCACGCAGACCTCTATGCTGACGATGAACTTGGTGTTGTGAGTAATATAACCTCTACGCTGACGATTAACTTGGCGTTGTGAACTTTAATAACTTAATTTTGGCCACATCTGAGTGAAGCGATGATAAAATTATATAGAAATTATTTTCTCCTGACCAAACCAACGACTTGTCACTCAAGATCACAACCCAGTCTCGAGAAATTGGTTTTACTCTTTTGAGTGATGCCCGTGCTAATCTTGCAATGAATCAATTTTTAAATCAAATGATATGTAATTGAGTACAACACACGCTGTTATTCTATGTACCATCAACCAGCACTGCAAAAATTATTAATCTCGCTGCTAAGGAGAGTTAGAAGCTTACTTTTGCCTGGATCTAAATCAAGATACGGTAAATATACGTTACTTATGTTAATTTCTACCAACAAAGTTACGATTAATTTCATAACACAAAGACAAATATTCAAATCATGGATATATAAATTTTTTTTCCATCATATTCGCGACGGCGAGCTGTTGGCATTCGTCATGGATGACGTTCGATGTCAAAGCGACATGGTGCTAAAATTATCAAAGTTTTCATAGATATTAAATTTTGCCTAATAATTCCATTTTAATCCATAAATTTCTTAAAACATCTTAACTCAGATAGTTCAAATAGTTTTACAACCCATCGTGCATAATACTTCTTTATATCTACACGAATTCACCAGGGATTTAGTATAAACTTTAATGCTTTCCTCTGCCCCAAGGTTGACGGGGATGGTCCCTATGCCGGCGCCACGTCCGATGACTTGGCGGCGTGGCTACTCAGAACCCGCATGCCCAAGCGCAACTCAGAACTTCTCAACACGCTGCTCGGCTCCAAGAACCTCGTCGCCTTGCGAGCCGCCGGTCGTCGGTAAACATCCCGATAAGCAACATCTTTCAACGCAGTCGAGTAGAGTCCAGCACTCAACTTCAGAATTGAGCATCCTCGGTGAAAAAAGATTCGGAGAGAATTATCTGATAAACTAAATTTTCTGTCAAGTGCTCAAATTAAAATCGGAATTACTTTTAAATATTCATAATGCATACTATGCTATCACACAGCACACATTGCTGATACTGATAATTCGTACATTTGACATGAGATTGTGAAAGCCATAAATAAATCACCATCTTCTCCGACGCATGGTGGTAAAATTTTGGAGACATATTTAATCTGAAATCAGGCATACTATAAATTTTTGAACGTTTCACTTCGTCGGACTGGCAGCAAGCGGTATATGACTTTCCACGCACAATTTTAACGTTTGTCTCAACATGCATAACAAAGTCAGTTTCGATCGGCAATTCTTACTAAGTTTCTTATGCTCTCCACATCTCGGACCGCAGCCTACAATATGCTTCAATACCACCAACACGCTAAAGAAATAAGCTATTTTGAACTTTCTCACATTTAGCCTATAGACAGAATAGATTAACTTATTTTTCCCGCTGACTGGAAACTAGTACACGACATGAGCAAGTTTGTAACGCGAGGTTCACTCACATCAGTACCTCATGTGACCGGAAAGTTTAAGACCATCACTTCAACCCATCGATATTCACGATTAGCACTCTAATCCTTTTATATTTACGTATTTACGACCAATACTTTAATTCAGTTAAATTTACAACCATCACTTAAATTCATATACATTTACGAATACAACTTAAGAGCAGCATATTTAACACCTTGACTTAAATCCATCAATTTTTACGACAATCACATCAATCCATCTATATAGACGACCGGAACTTCAATACATCTGTAGTGACAACCATCGCTTCAATCCATCTATATTTACGACCATCACTTCGATATATCGTTGGTGCTGATCAGCAATCAATTTGAGGATAATTCAAATCTCAAAAACAATTGAAAAATTGGCGAGTGAGCACAGCTAAGATTTAACTCGTGAGCACATATTTATGATTTTACGTCATTCAATATGGCTTTCAGGATCAGTCGTCGCACTGATATTCGTAACAAGGAATCTACTATAGCCTAGAATGCTCGCGTTACGAGCTCAACATGATTTATGCCTAAATGTGTCAAACAAAATAAATAAAATCGAGCAAAGCTTAGTTTCAATTTCACATTTTTCAGTTCTGGTGGTTCAGACTTGGAATAAAATTAAAAAGCTTTTCCTCTGATATTGCGAAGGTACGTACATCAGTTCAGAAAAATAGTTCCTGCAACCTCAACATCAGAGTGGAAGGTTGTACCCCGAACTATTATGTGCACAAAAAATAATCACAGCACTTGCTGCAAGTAACACTTGCACCGCCCAGCCCAAAATATTGTTAGAGGGACGTATTCATATATAATACATTTATTTTCACTTAATACATTTTAATTTTCACTTAATATTTTTATTTTCACTTAATAAATTACATTTTTATTTCACGTAATATATTGTATTAGTATTACTTACTCAATGCTACTTAAAATATTCACTCGGTGGCTTGCAGAAAATGTGACCACCACACTAGGTTGCTGCAGAACTAGGCTTACGATTCTACATCTTTAAATCCATGATATGGTTTTGAATAATGGTAGATTGTTATTCTGAGCCAAGTGAACAAAATTACCTGCAAAAAGAGATCATATCTATCCTGTCCGAATATCTAAACAGCGACCAACCGGTCCGTAATTATGGAAGTGCCTGAGCCTGCGTTGTGCTGCCGACCGACGGCGCAACGGCTCGGTACGGCGAGACGCAAGGTTGCTTGAAAGTCGTCTTTAAACGTCAGTGCTACAGTTGATGATTGAAACTTGGAGGTAAATTATAAAAAATTCAATAAAACAAAATGTAATAATCGCTACGCATCGGTAAGGAAGGCTTTTCACTATTAACGAAAGAAAGGTAGTGGGAATTCACTGGTCTAAGAGTAGAGAATGAGTGCTGCGCAGCAGTCCTGGCTGCAGACCTCAATACCTACGAGTAATCAGCTATAGACTATTATTAAACTTCTATCTAGAAAGAACTGAATGTTAAAGAGGGACGTTTAATTTCGATAATAACTGCACTTTCTTGTGCTAGCCACACCAAATCTAACCAGGCAAATTATATAAAGCGATGTTAGGGTCGCAAGGGTTTATTGAAATTAAAATTTCCATTCACGTGGCTGAATGACGTTGACGCGGTTTACACTTCTTTATTGCAACAAACTCGAATTAGTTTTCTAAGAAGTAGTAGAACACGTACATAATAAGAAGAAAAATTGGAAACTAAATGAAGGAAATATGTCCGCTGAATAAGAGAACACTCAAGGTAAGCAAACTTATTTTATTTGCATTCAAAGCTTTTATGGGGATAACACTCGGATATTATTGAGTAAATACTTTTTTACGAAACAAGTTCCGCTCAATAAAAGAAAATAAAGACAAAGTTAGTTAGTTAGTTTAGTGGCCAAATGTTTACTAGCGCTTCAGCTATTTAGCTATCTCGCACCGAAAGTCAAGATGAACATCACCATAGAGGTGGAAGGTCTCAATTATTCATCACCCACAAAGATTTCGTACAGGCGATGATGTCATAAATGAAGAATAACGAAGCTGTCATAGAGTATCCATAATGTCATAAACAAGTAACGCAATTTATCTCAAACGAATCTCCAACGAGAGAACTTAAGCAAGACCACGTCCAAGTCTGCGCTCATATTTTTTATATGACAAGCAAACCAAAGCCAAACTTAGGTCGGGGTTAACTGTTTAATAAACCAAGCCCAAGTTGGCGCTCATTGTTCAGTATACACAACTAGCAAGTGTCGAAGAAACGAGAACTTCTCTCGTACAACAATCATAACGGCGTGAAGTCAGAGAAGCGGCATAAAACATTCAAAAGAATAGCTATAAGTAATCTTTAACTTGCCGTTTAAAGCTTTACGCATGGGAAAAAACATTTATTACACGATACTCTTATCAGAATAGCATTAATCGTACGGTAAATGCACTCATCAATCACATCGTGCGCAGGTTCCAATATTACTTAGTATACGGCACATTAAACGTAAAGTTAGCGACTATAAGATTAATGCCACAGGTACAATAATAATGACTCGCGTAAAATATATTGCATGTAAAATACAGACATAGTTGAATTTTACCGCCGAATACGTCGACCAATTAATGTATTATCATACATACATTTCCTATACGTACGGTACACGCTTTGAGCATGTCAAACTAATTCAAGTATCAATATATTTCCGACACACGATATGGCAATTTCAACCAACTCGCTATATTAACATGCTGTTGACAAACGTTTGAATGTTTCCCTTAACTGCACTGGCATCATAGGAGAATATAATGGCGTTGCAGCTCGACTTCCCACCACTGGCGATGGAAGGGCGAAACCATCGATTTGGAACACGATCATAGAAAATTTTAGTTCTCTTAAACAGCGTCAACGGTACCTGAAGTTTATTCCTATAATTTCATCAGCTATAATTCAGTTAAACCGAATCAGAAACATAATTCAGTAAGAATGAACGTAAGCAAAATCCATAAAAATCTTTATGATTGTCTGTCAAACAAGACTTCGTTGTTGAAATGAGGTCAAGACTATACAGTGAGATAACACTAAACATAATGACATAATGTCAAACATTATGTCAAACATAATGACATTATGTCTTGACATAATGTCAAGATGTCAAAATAAAAGAAGACAGATGCGGACTCAGATCTCAGATGTAGACTTTGTGCGTTTCGACGATACGCCGTCGACACACGGGACAAAGTTTCGAGCTATTCTTAATCGCTCTGCAACAATCCCGACACAAACACAAGTGACCACACGGCATGAGCAGCATGGAGCGCTCACTGTCCTGGCACACTACACACTCAGGCATGTGTATCGTATCGGTGGCGGTCGAGCTTCTTGATGTGTCAACAGAGTAATTCTTGCCGGTCCAGAAATTGTGGGTGATGTTCCAGGAAACTTTGGAAACGAGAGGTTGCAGCTGCGCGTTGAATCCTAGCATTTGCTTGGCTCTGAGCAACCGCGCAGCGATGAATGTGAATTTTCTGGACAGTGGTTTTACCGTAACGTATAAAGCACCAGCGTCGTTCTCTCTTACGATGTAATGATAGGCCATGTCATTATGGCGGTCCATGTTCATGCGTGCAACCAAATATTCGTCTAATCGGTTCACATCCATTGCGACCGCGTCCTCGTTTATACGTCGTTCCAGATAAATATGATTCGTGCATTCTGGCCTTTGGGCAGCAGCATTAGTGTTAGCTGGGGTAGCAGCAATAGGTCGGCTGAAGAAACTCAGCTTGCTCAGGAGTCTTGCCAAGAACTCGAACATTGTGACAGCACGAGCAACGAACCACAGGTAAATGAAATGCAAACGATTCACACGCAAAACTGAGACGCTTCGTATGAGAACTCTTGCTAAGCTAACAATTATTCTCGAAATTCCGTTTCGGACAAAAGCACAAAACCTGTATCGTCTGCATTGTATCACTAGATAGCGATAAAGAAGATGTGAAATCGCAAGAATTAAAAATACAATGTCAAAAAGCAAATCAAGTACTCTCTCAAAGACAATAAGGAACAACCTCACACAGAGAGCAAGTACTAAGTTAAGTTTCCTGGCCAAGTAATTGGAACTTATCGAAATAATTCGACCTAAACACAGAGTTGACACCTGCAAGGCTTTGGCAGTTCTCGCAATGATCACCAAGGAGAATCGCAGAATGAGAATGAGCAATTGGAATACTCCGCAGTAATTACAAAGAATTACAGTGAAGATTATAGATATTGTAACGGCTACTGCGATTGCTAAGGGTTTGAGAAAGTTTATTAGATCCGATGTGATGATGACGGCAATGAAGTTGAGCACAGCAGACAGCACCAGATGCACGCAGGCACCCACGTCAGACAGGAACTCCAGCAGGTCTGCCTTCAGCAGACTCAGCATTTCCCGTGTCTGCACAACGAAATCAAATGACTGTCACAACGACTTGAATGTCAGACACCCGGGAATTTTTTGTTGATATGAGGTAATTAGTTGGTAATGAATGTAGAAACACAAGGTCATAGAGCCAGAGAATTAAACAGGTGGTAAAACCATTTGACGAACATTAGAACGACCATACATATACAACATTCTTATTTATCAAGTTTATGAATAATCAAATTGTTCTAATATTGATACGATATTGTAAACTTGGAAAAATCTACTGTAAGTTTAAATTGGGTTCATATAAATGTAAAAATATTACAATCCTTAAAATTGGCAAACCCTTACTTCTTGCAATAGCTCCTACCCATTACAAATGATTGGAATCGCATGAATGTGAAACAATCTAAATTCCATGTCTGTCAAAATTTCCTTGTGGCATTTGTTTCAAAGTAGGAAAACAATTGCAAGAGGTTAGATAGTTAAATATGTAAAGTGAAATAACAATCATAATTTGCAGATATGTAAATACTTTGCTCAAGTAACATTTGCAAACCTTAGAAATGAGGAGCAGCAGGAGGCTGATGAGGTGGGTGCTGAAGCGTAGCACGGATGACACAACATTGTGGTTAAGTCGAAGAGCAACAGCAAGACCACCGTAAATGATCTCCGAAACCTGGTGCAACTCGCCAGCCAATGTCAGATAAGAGTCCCAGAGTGACTCTCCAAACTCACTCATAATTTCCAGGAGCAACAATATGAGATGAAGTGCGCCAACTCAATCAATTCACAAAGAAACATTCTTTTCTGCTGCTATGAATGAAAAAAAGTATGAAATAGTTCATATCTGTTGAGAAATAAGGCATTAATTTTACAATGAAACATTTCCATGTTAAGCTATTGTTGGGAGAGCAGCAGCTTGGTCGCACTACATCACAAGATAAAAATTCAAAATTTCTGTTCTTAAATTCATTCTTGTTCACATCTCCAAGTGAGACAAGTCAACACATTTGGAAGTTGTCAGATTGAGGAGATATATTATTGATAGTGTGCAGAAGATATTGAGAAAATTTCAAATTAGGAATGCATAGCAAGGCAAAATGCAGTCTGCCATGACTGCAACTATGCAATGGTCATGGAACGTTTTGGGTGCACCGGTGCAGGCATGGAATATATCTTTTGAGCCATGACTAAAAGCTTTCTTGCTATTTTTGGATCTGAAAGATTCCTACTAGATGAATTACCTCTTATAAAATTGTTAATGAAAAAACATGATGACCATGAGATTACAACTGTATTGAAAATTTGTCACTTTATGATTGCAAGTTTTCTGTGATTATTTTCAAAACATGGCAATCCTGTTTGAGTACAGACTTCATGCAGAATATTTAGACAAGAGCATGTTAATGAACCATGGAAGTTCAAATTTTTTTAAATGACATGTATACAGATGGAAACATTTTAAATAAAAACAAAATATAACAGACATTGGGCCTGCCATGTTTCCAATTTAGAATATTAGGCAGAATTTTATTTTTCACTTAAAAAAATTGGAGTGAAATTCTCTAAAAAATTGGGGTGAAATAATTTACTCTTAATGGGTGAAATAGACCAGATTCACAGGCATTTTTGGCCAATTCATGGTTGGCTCCTGCCTAGTTATCTATTTATCCACTGTGGCAAAGTTTAATATTCACCAAAATGATGCAATGATGACTGAAAATTTCATTTCCTTGACAGAATTATTAATTTTCCTACTTGTGATGGAATTGGGCTTTAGCATATATGGACACTTGGACAGATATATGGGGAATATCTACCTCTAACCTCTTGCCATACTGAGAAGTGAGAAGTTGAGAACTGAGTTATATTTTTAGAGGTACGGCATAGTGGCAAACCAGAGCTTTTTTAGAATCAGTTCATTTTTAATTTCCTCATTTACTCAAGATTTAAATCAATTTCTCAAGTATGATAAAGCTGGTATGAGGTATCCATGATACTTTACTGGTCTACTTATAGGACTCAAAAATGAACTTGAGGGAGAGTCTAAAAACCTCTCTGCTTCGCCACTATGACTGGTACAGTGGTACGGTAGTAAATGTATGTATGATGTTGATGTATTTGCTTTATGCTACATAGTGAAAATGTTGAACTTTACACCACTTTTTTCAGTTCAGCAGTATTTCAATTAATTTAGCTGCTTCATCTTCAACACTTCTATGAAATGTGGTTGGTATACCTGTCCCTATTTACCCCACCTGTCTCTTATTACCCCATTTCACAGTATGTAAAAATGTTTAATTTTTCCAATATTCTGAATCCTGGATGAATGGGTATTGGGTGGGGATCTTTAGGTTGGGGCGGGGCCGTTGGGGGCAAACATTACTGTAAATAAGAAAAAAATGCATATGATTACATTACAGATGATTTCTCTCTTACTTTGACTTTTCCATAATTTTTTAAATTAAAATAGAGAGAAATAGCAAATTTTAAAAATCTCATGAAACTCTAATTTCTACCTGTAAGTTGTAACTGTGAGTCTGTGACTCATTGCATATTATTATACTACAATAAACTACATAATTACTACATATTAGTCTAGTACTATTACTCTACTAGACATCAAACAAGACATTCCAGCCCTCAGATTAATGCTTAAACCCCATTACCTTGATAGCCTGATAGGTAGTCTACAATCATACAAAATGCCCAACATCACTTGAACATGGGCTGGGCAGCCTGGGCCCCAACAACTGAACAACAACTATCAGACTTTGTCAAGTGTCAACAAACCATCCATGCTCCATGGCATGTGATCTTTGTGTCAATTGTATGCATTTGAATAATTTACTTTCAGACCTTGTTATATACTTTTTAATGATGTAGTAACTAGTGATTAGTGACAGTGAGTGTAGTCTGTATAGATCACTACCATAGCGTGCCCGTGGGCGAGTTCATCGTAATTCGTAAATGTCTAGCACTCCGAATCTCCGATTAGACAGATTAGGCTAGTGCTAGTCTGAACTGTCTGCGTCTGGACTCTGGTCCATTCAAATTTTCATTTATTTAGAAGACTGGGAGTCTAGGTCTCTTAGGAGTAAGCTATAAATTGAATACAAAGACTACAAGAATGGAATAGCCAAAATAAAAAACGCGTCAAATCGTCATTTTTAAACCGAGTTCGAGTCTCGCGGTGACACTGACAGATATATCTCCCACCTCCCGGTCCAGCATAAATTGACGAACTTCGACCTTCGTCAAGCGACTCAAGCCCCCAATGCTCGTTAACGAAAACAACTAAAGTGGTTTGGTGCTCACACATTTGACGCCTTTAATTTCAACTTTCAAGCATCATTTCATTCGCGGCCCGCTCCTCTAACATTTGAAGCCGATGTAACGGGCTAACGACAGTTGAAGACGGACGTCAGAAGATTTGTTTGTTAGATAATCCGCTTCCGCTGGGGTAATACGTAAAGTTCTCTGTTCTTCAGCGGGTTGACGGAATGCTGAGCGACACACGATTCAATGCAAAAGCTGCTATTTGTTAGAACTTAAAGATTGATAAGGCGGGTTGTGCCGTTGAAGTTTTCCCACAGTATAAGACGTAAAGTGCTGACTTATGACATTTGGTGGCTGACGATACTTGCTACAGTACTTTCCATTAACGATGTATGAACGATGTATGAACCGAGAGGTTACTTGTCGACAATCTACGATTGGGCCCTAGTGAACAATATCATGAAACTAAAAATGTAAAGTAAAAATTTAAATAACAACTAAAACGCTATAAACAAAACAAAAAAAAACTGCGCTGCAACTTATCCACGTGACATTTCTTCTCGCTTCGAATCGCCGACATGTGGAACAGCCTCCCCGATTACGTCGTTGGCGCTCCGAGTATGAACGCGTTCAAAAACAGACTAGATAAAGATTTGGAAAAATATATGTTCAGAATTGAAATGCCTAGCACCATTTCGAACCCGGTGGAAGTCTAGTACCTAGCTATTTCAAACTATCGTCAGTCCTGAAAAGATCCGGTCAAATGACATGGTTTTAGATCTTCTGTGAACAAGTCACGAAAAGTATGAATCGGCGACAGGCCATATATCAGGTCTACTCTTCAGCGCCGACATCGCTATGTTATGTTTTGAATATGCGGTTCAACGGCACAAAGTTCGAAATAATGAGATACAGAGTCCGCACAGAGATCGGGATGTCACATCACTACTTGGCATCAGATGTCACAGAAATTGAGAAGTAACTTGTTCGAGATCTCGGAGTGTTGATGAGTACTGAAGCCCCATTCGATGCCCACATCGAGGAAATAGTCGCTCGCAGCCGGCAACGGATGGGGTGGATCTGGCGAACATTTCGAACGAGAGAAGCAGCACCAATGATTACACTATTCAGAGCCCTAGTGCTTCCCAATCTTGAGTATTGCTGCCATCTGTGGGGGCCACTCAAGGCGGGTGCTGTGCGGAAACTGGAGGCAGTGTAGCGGACCTTCACGTACAGGATCAGCGGCACGAGGAAGCTGGACATGAACTACTGGGAAAGGCTGAAACATCTGGGACTGTTCTCACTGGAGAGGAGAAGAGAGAGGTACGTATATCATACTGTACCTTGGAAGATGATAAACGGACTGGCTCTCAACTTTGAGAGTGTGACCTCCAGAATAGTGACATATTACAACGAAAGGAGGGCGAGACTGCAGGATTCTCCCATTTAATGACCGAGCAGCGGCCGGAGTACAGACTTTTCGAGAGGGATCACTGTCCGTGACAGGACCGAGGCTCCTTAATACCTTGCCAAATGTGCTGAGAGGAGTGGAGTTCACCCTTGAACACTGCAACATTCAAGAGACGACTGGACAATTGGTTGAGAAAGATCCCGGATTGTCCAGTAATGGAAAACTACCCTCACCAAGTGACAAGTAGGGCCAGCATCTTGCATCAGCTGGCCCAAAGGAGGGCAAATATACGGAATACGTCCTACGTTACATCCGGGACCCAAGGGCGGGGTGACCTGCCCAGCGACGACGCGGAGACGGAGGACGACGAAGGCGGCGCATCAGCGTGACCGGGGACTAGGAAGTCCCGAACTCATCATAAGGTCGATATTGAGATTCAATTTACACCATATCAATTGCATTATATCACTTATGTGAAATCCACATGTTGATAAGATTGGCGAAATATGTTGTAAATGATTAAAATGATGCTACTTTTTATTCTGCCCAGTTTTTCTTTGAACTATAAATAAATCGGAACAAATAACACTGGCCGTTATCAGGTTTTGTAGTGTTGAGGACATTACTGACTTAATAATAATATATAATATAGCGGTTTCAGTGTTCATCAGGCCGTTGGCCAGTCGCTGATTCTTAACATCACAGACAATTTACAGCTTGTTGAGGTCACGAACTCGTAACTCACTGCTACAATTCTATTGTGCTTAACCGCCCGGCCTCCTCGCTGATGGCGATCCTGACCAAAAACTGGCGCAAAGAGCTGGGATCGAATTCGCACCTCTCTGATCCAATCCTGGCACTCTGAACTTTATGCACTTTAAACCGTTATAATATATTCACATATTCACTAACTGTTAAGGACATTACTGGCCGTTATATTCAATATCCGTGAATGACATAGCTGAACGCTGAATGAAATACCTATTGAGGATGATAATTTCATATTGTATAACGGCTTCATTCTTTCATTTGTGTTATAAAACGCAAATTAATGTTTGCAATGGCAGATTTCAATTAAGTAATTTTATGGCGATTCGTTGTGACAAAGTTAACCGTTAACAACGAAAAACTTTGCAATATTCAACCACGTAATGCGAATGAGATTTTTTTCTTCGCAGTGATAATTCGAATTTAGCGTAGAAATTACTTTCCAACGTAATTTTATAGTGCGCACACTAATGTGAAGCCAGAAGGAATAATAGACTTATTTCAATATTGCGCTGCGTCTTTTTTTATCGAATGGTTAACGTTTTCTAAGATTTACTTCGTAGTGAGATTTTAATCGTTTGAATCTTCACGTTACCGGCCCGTATGCTAAATAGGGCACTAGCACTACGAAGTAGCACTACGCACTACAAGCCGTAGTGCCGTACTAGTGCGACATGGAACACTACGGTTGGCATGCTAAATAGGGCACTAGCACCATGAAGTAGCACTACGCACTACAAGCCATAGTGCGGCATGGAACACTACGGTTGGTATGCTAAATAGGGCCAAAAGCATAACGCGCACTACAAAAATCTGAAGTGTCCTACACACCGCACTTCACGACGACACTACACAAAGCGAAGCGTACCCGAGCCGTGGAAGTCTAATCAACGTACCGAGATATGTGATAACGAATGATTAGCTTTAAAACAAATTGAAGCGTACCCGAGCCGTGGAAGTCTAATCAACGTACCGAGATACGTGATAACGAATGATTAGCTATAAAACAAAGCGAAGCGTACCCGAGCCGCGGAAGTCTAATCAACGTACCACGGAACCAAGATACGTGATAACGAATGTTTAGCTTTACAACAAAGCAAAGCGTACCCGTGCCGTGGAAGTCTAATCAACGTACCACGGTACCAAGATACGTGATAACGAATGATTAGCTTTAAAACAAAGCGAAGTGTACTCGTTGTGTGAAAGTCTAATCAAAGTACCAAGATACGAGATATTGTATGATTAGCTTTACAACAAAGCAAAGCGTACCCGTGCCGCGAACGTCTAATTAACGTACCAAGATACAGAATAATGAATGCTAAGCTTCACAACAAAGCGAGCCGTGAAAGTCTAATTAAGGTCCCACGGTACCAAGACACGTGATGAAGTGATTAACATTATTTGGAACGATACCTACATTATTGCTGGCGTCGGTGCTGCATCGTCAATATAAACAAATCCGCACGCGCGGGGTAGGAATTCTCTAGAAGTTGAGGTTCGTAGTTGTAAACTCCTACCAGAGTGAGATTACTCGACTACTCCCTTATTAACATACAAAATGGCGTTATTTGTAAAAAAAAACACGGAAATGAGTGGCAACTTTGCACATTAGGCCCCTAACGCAATTTATATCATCTCGTCTCCAGTAAATGAATGGTGGCATCAAAATTAAGTATATTCTGGAAAGAGCTTGACACTTCCACATAAATATTATGAAAAAGATACAAAATCTGAACAGGATATCGAAGTGATATTTCTTATTATTATGCTTTATTTTAGGGGCTTTTATTGCTAGTTTACCAACAGCATCTACAAATTACAGCTAGGAACAATCGAAATTTACACTCAGAGAAATTAGTTTGACTCTTTCCAAAGTATGAATGAATAACGGGAGAAGTTGCCATTAAAAAAAAACGCACAGTGCATTTTGTGATTCAAGTACATTTCTTATGCTAGACGTCACAACATATTACACGTATACAAAATCTACAATTGTCTTTTTCAAAGTTAACGTATGGTTAATAAACTAATATCACACAGTAATATATAACAGTATAAAAACGGTATCTATTTACCAAATAGTGTCCATATAACTACACAATATCATAAAAAAGCTTAACAAAATTGATACGTTCCTCCAAAAGTTTGTATATTATGGACAACAAACAGAACAGCGTCGCTTGAAGATAAGCTGTCATGATAAACAACGTAAACATGAAGGACAAAACACACTACATTTGTGTGGCGGATGCAGGTCACCCAGTAATGGCCGCCGCCGCGCTGGTGCACGTCACCCAGTGATGGCAGCCGCGCTGGTGCACGTCACCCAGTGATGGCAGCCGCGCTGGTGCACGTCACCCAGTGATGGCAGCCGCGCTGGTGCACGTCACCCAGTGATGGCCGCCATGCTGGTGCACGTCACCCAGTGATGGCCGCCGCCGCGCTGGTACACGTCACCAAGTGATGGCCGCCAAGCCATGCTGGTGCACGTCACCAAGTGATGGCCGCCGCGCTGGTGCACGTCACCCAGTGATGGCCGCCGCGCTGGTGCACGTCACCCAGTGATGGCTGCCGCTGCGCTACTACACGTCAGTATCTTGTCGATGAGCTGCTGGTCGGCGTCCTTGGCGTCCACGTCACCCGCCGCCGTCCACGACTGGTCCGCCTCCAGCCTGTGCGCCCCCAGGTACTCGTGGGGGCACTCGCCCCACTCCTGCACACCCATCATAAAGGATAATCGGACGCGACAATCAATGATAAGCAGAAGCGATTATATCAGTGATAAACGGACAAGATAATCAGGAATAAACAGACACGATAATCAGGAATAGGCAGAGATGATCAAAGATTCTCAAACACAATGATCACGGTTAGTCGGACATGATAACCAGGGGTAAGCAGACGCGATAATCAGTGATGATCAGACACACTATTACGATAAAATCAGATGCGATGCAGCTCCATTGATCAGTTAAGATCCTAATTCTATGGTTCATAAAATTTAATTTAATATCCTATTATTCTCCAAACATTTCATATAAACTTCCTAAAAATTCAATTTCGTCTGCCACGAATCTTCTATGCCTATGGGTTTCATGTTCAAATTGTTCATCTTATCTGAATTCAAGATGAACATGTAAATTTCAAAGTTGGTGCGTTTGAAACCTGGCACCGCAATATCATGGAGTATAGAGCTGAGAGTGCATCACTATTTTGACGATAAGCCACATATTTCCTGGAGTGTACATTCTATGATTTGTCATAGCCATTAATTTCAGCAAAAATATATAAATAAATAATTATAAAATAAAAAAGAATATATATAAGCAACCTTGGGGCTGATCATGGAGAAGTATCGCTGTCCAGAAGGTCGTCTGTAGAGGTGGTAGGTGGCGCCGGGCTGCTTGACGAAGTTACAGGCGACGTGGTGCAGGTCAGCGTTGTGCTGCGCCTCCTGCAGCACGCGGCGCGCCTGCTCCTGCAGGAAGCGCACCTGCTCCGCTATCACCTGCAGCTTGCTTCCGACTGTCGCCTTTGTGAACGAGTCCGCCTGCACAACATAGCCGCCTGCAATTATAACGAATCCGCCTGCACAACATAGCCGCCTGCAATTATAATTACCATATTTGGTTATTATTTGGAGAAATGAAGAAATAGTAATGATTATGAATCATGAAAAATGAAGAAAAGTTATTGACAATGAATCACTATCAGAAAATAAGGAAAAGTAACGATAATGAATCTTCATGGAGAAATTGCCAAACTTGGGGTGAAATGAAATGAATGGTTTTGTAAAATTGCTGGAGTTATTTGAATGCTTCAAGCAAGCATATAAGAAAAAATATCTGTGCACAGTTAAAAATCTGAAGCTTACTGACTTTCTAGAAATCAGTATGAAAATATTTGGGGCGATGGATTTAAATTCATTAAAACTTGGATTCATTAAAAAATTGCGTGGAGTAAAAAATGAGAGCAGTTTGCTTTATTCACCATTGAATGCTTGTCAAATCTTAGCAGATATTTGGCCGTGAGCTCGTAGATAATGTGGGCAAAAATTATTGCAGTTCTTGAGTTTATGAAGAATTTACCAAGGTTTTTATGAATTGCGTGGAGTATTACTTTGACTCTGAACGAATCAATTAGATATGCCATTTAGAGTGAAAATATAATGCAAGGCAGAGTTCTAAATTTGACCTTTCCCATCATCTTCCGTGCACAGCAAGTTTTTGAGAAACAAACTCAATGGCATACAACATATAATGTAGCGGCATCTCCTACCTTCTCTATCACAGCAGGACAGTAATATACTGAGTAAAATAATTAGGTAACTAATACGCATACCTTCTGTTTGAAGACATTAGAAATATAATAGATTACATAAAATAATAGTGCAGCTCCTACCTGTACTATTTATTTAATAATAGTCAGACTAATGTAATAATAATAGTGTAGTTTCTCCCCATACCTTTTGTATCTCCTGCGCGAGTTGGACGAGGTCGGAGGGGGCGTGCCGGGTGCTCCTGTAGGCGTTGACGAGGTGCGCTCCACCTGGAGCGTCACTGCGCTCCACCAGCGCCGCTATCACACAAGTTACACAGCCAATTACTTTGTATTATCCAGATATAACTATCTACTGATAGACGTGTATCCAGAACTTCGTATTATCCAGATATAATTGTGTTTTAATCATAATGCGTTGTATGCTATGCAATCATAATTCGTTGTATGCTATGAATCATGCGTTGTAGATACTATCGCATTACGGTAATACAATTAATACTATGCGATTCATCTGAACGCGTAAATGTAATGCTCTTCAACAAATTGCAGTATCATCAAATTACACATGTACAAACAATTCACCAACATATTCATAGTATGTATTGAGCATAGTCAGATTCCAATATAACACGGAACAAACTCTACTTTCTTATGCTTCATCAGATATTATTACTGGCTAGCATCGAACAAATGTTTAGGCGAACCGTGCTAGGTAAATTTGGAGCAGATGGCACCCTGATTAGTTTAATTCGAGTCGAACTGAATCATTTTGATCGTCTTTATGAGTAATCTTTTTTTTACTAAATAAAACTATGCCTTCAAGAGATGCGTTTCAAATTACAGCATGAACGATTCAATTCAATATTTAAAAAAAAATAGATCAATTCAACAGAAGCAAAGTGACACACTGAGTTAAACGCAAACGTTCAACAATGTTGTAAGTCGTGTATACTGTACACTGTTTGACAACACAAACGTATAAATTATTAGAGTTACTTACGGTTGGGCAGCGGCTTGTTTTTGTCAGGCATGGCGACTGACATTTTTAGTATTTTGTGGTGTCAACGAGAATGAAGATAGAAAAGGCGTTAACAATTTAATGAATTGAACAATAAACTATATTTCTGTGGGATGGAAAAGCCACAAAGAAATAAGTTGTGAAACGCAAATCATTTTCAGCACATCCTAAATACAGAATCTTGCATCAACTTCACTGTTTAAATGAATGTTATTGGTCACAACGCATAATGGTAAATATTATATATGCATTATAGCAAAAAAGTCAGCATGAACGCTACAAATATCCTACGTGTCCTCGAAATTTCAATCCTTATCAAAGGAATCCGCACGCATAAATACTCGCACTAAACTTTGTTTTAGGCATACGTTATCATTGAGCTGGTGAAACATAGTTAGCTAATATCGAGCTTCTTCCCCTTAAATTAAACTACCTCCTCCCTTCTTCTCTTACATGATGATTAATCATGTTGAGTAGACTTCCTTATTAACCCTCGAGCTTGTATACTGTTAATAATATTACCAAGGAACATTTTACTTGTGTCTTAAAATAATCCAAACTTTTCTTCCTCCTCAAGACGAGACTGGGGAGAGCAGGGGTGCGTCACACCCCACCAGGCACAAAGCTGGCCCCTGTGCTGTCCCGGCGACCGCCGCTCATTTCAACGATGGATTTCCGCGATAATCATGACGGATTTCTTATTGTATAGCAATGATAATTTTGGATTACACATGAGCAGTTGTAGCACTTGAGGATTTTTAGCGCATTTTCTCATTTATGGAAAAAATGCACTATTGTGCTCGCCATGTCCGTCTGTCTGTCTGTCCGTCCGTCCGTGACGTCAAGTTTTCGTCGACGAGAAAATGCGCTCTCTGTCAATCACTGCAGTGAGTACTGAGTTATATTTTTTTTCATTTCAGTGATGACGATTTTCTTTACTTTCGACGTGCAATGATAGCAAAATAAACTCCAAGAATGGAAATGTCTGAGGGTCGTAGCGGCCACTGTCATGCAATGTTATAAGTAACTCGGAGATGGACAAAGAACGTATCGGAAGTTCGATATTTCGGCACAGCTGCGAACTTGAATTTGTGCCACTTGGTAAGAGGCGTCAAAAGTGGCATATCGGCATGGCTGATGGCTGTATACCCTAAACAAGATATCGGATACCTGTCACAAGGTGCGATATTATGGATCTCAGGACTACACCAACCTTCCAATTCTTGGGAAGGTTGACATTTATTGCAATGAGAGATATTGAGAAATACTGAGAACTCACAATAATTACAATAAGAAAATTTTGACTAGACAGCTAGATATGAGAGTTGTAGATAACACTATGAGAGGTTTCAATGATTCATTTTGGTCAAGCATTGAGAAATACTTATCAGAAATGTTTACTAAATAGTAATAAATATTTTTGACAGATGGACATTCGGTATGAAAATAAAGCAGTTTAAAACACGCAGCGCATTACCATCGTATCCATACATTTTTATGCATACTACACACAACACATTATACAACATATGAACATCCAAATAATGTTCATCGATTTGTTTGAAATGCATCACAAAAATTGTTCTGGTTCATTCATAATACAAACGCCTAAGCCGAATTCATCTATTCACTCTTTGTCAGTTCAAAAAGATTCTACCTCTAATATTAATTGTTGTCTATAGCTCAGAGCATCACAAACTGGATCTCAGTGGATCACAGGTTCGTTTCAGCGGTCACGTCTCTGATGCTGGCTGAGGAACAATAACACAGTCTCTATCAATGGAATAACACGTACACTTTGGAATAAATGACACAAAGTAATAACAAGTAAGGATGCTATTGCCAGCTAGAGTTTATGTCATCTTGCAGTTTACTTCTCTTCTTTGGCATTTGTACAGTGGAGACCTCTTCTTCCTTTGCTATGGATGACTTTTTTTCTGTAATAAAAACGATGATGGTTACAGATTCACAATTTATTCATCGCATTATTCCAAATTATCGTGCAGATTAAATCACGAAGTGATAAATTATTAGGTTATCTATGTCATTGCAGTTTTATGAAAATACTTGCTGTATTGCTAGTAGAGATATAGTTATAAATTGAAAAAATAAATTTATTGACTGCGTTAATTACAAAAAAAAAAAAATTAAGAAAAATGGAAATGGAATGAACTTGGAATGGTAATTTAGAATTCAACAACCAAATACAACATTGTTGCACATGAACTAAATTCTTGGTTCATTTAGGATGAAATCATTGTAATTAAATCCTATTAAAATTGACAAAATGCATGCATATTGTTCAGTAGTTGCACTATACTCACTGCGCTTGCCACTGGTCCCAAGTCCATGGTTGATGAAGCGTCGCGCTGCAGCCTGGTCTATTCTTTGCATGGATGCTCTGGCCTCCAGCTCTGCAACCCGCTGCTGTACACCTTTGATGCGGCCCAGCTCTGTTTTGATGTCCTTCTCCAGCTGCTCTGCATCTGAGTCGCTACTCAACTTGATCAGAGCTGCCAACATACATATATGTTAACAATACATTAGAACCTGATTAATTAAAATTATTAAGTATTGTTATTTCTTTTTCTAGCTGGCACGCCTCACTGTCAGTCACGACTTGGTCAAAGAATAAGAAAAATGTCATAGAGCTACATTTTCATTTGAAAAATGAGTTTTAAAGTAACAACCATATTTATGTGCCACCTATAATAAAGGCTCATAATTAAACATAATCTACAATCAAGCAAAAAATAATATTAAATACAGGTTGATATCTATCTTTAGACAACCATTAGATTAGAATTCTTCCAAATCTGAGTGACATTGCTGAGGTTTTGGCTGATCAATAATAAGTCAAATCTTGACCTTCTATTATCACGCATGAATTTCAAACAAATTTAAAATATGTAAATATGTTGGGAAAAGTTATTCAAGCTGAACTCTTCAAAAAAGAATTTTGCACATTGAAAGTTCACATCAAACTAAGAGTAGATCACATTTTAATGGTTATTTTCAGTGCACAAACAATGTATATTTAGGGTTTAATAATTTATAATTGTCACCTTAAATAATCATGGGAAGTGATGCATTCAAGAGATCAATAATCTCCAAGTTATGTTAGAAAAATCAACATTTTGTGATTTCTTGATATACTACCGACACACATTAAGTCAATTCCAGAGATGCAAAAAATTAAAAAAAAAAAAAAACTTGGAGCAGTTAGAACCTTAAATGCTCTCTTTACACTTGAAAACTAGTAATTTTTAATTAAAATGAGCACAATAAATTGGACTCACCCCAGAATAATGCGTTCAATGTGTAAGACTCCATGATGTGGATCTTGGCACGTTCCAGGTGATCCAACTGCACAGACATATTACTTCTCAGCAAAAGTGTTATAGGTAGGTACATCAACTATCAACCCTGAACATATGAGTGTAGCAAATTAGAGGCAAACAAAATTGCCACAATGTTCAATCAACATTGATTAAACCAAAAAACATTTATTTCAATGTTGATTCAATGTATTTTGCCTGGTGGGAAGCTTTAGAGCAGAATATCTACAGTTACATTACTAATAAATAGCATATCCTACAAAGAATGCTGTACAAAATTCAGTAGATGTAGATATTATATCAATATATGACATATTTTCTGCTCTCTGATGCATTTCCACAGGAGGATTCAATCATTACACTGAGGTTCTCCACAGATTATATAAATGGGCGGGACAGTGAACATTATGAGTAAATATAAATTCTGATTAATCCTGTGTTACAGGAACAAAATTGGAGAAGCAAGTTAATACTAAAGAAAATGTTGTGTAAAACTTAAAACTTACATCAGACAGTCAAACCTCAAATAAAACAATTGACTTACACAAACTTGAGTCAAAATTTGGTTCAAATCTTCAGAAAAAAATCCTATAGGAGTGAATAAATTTAGAAGGATTAACACAAAAACAGAATCTCATATCATTGATATTCACTTCACCTTTGCCAGGACCTCATGATGAGGCTTGCTTACGATGGGAGAAAGACCAGTCTTAAGTTCATCAATAGCCTTCATCATGGCCAGCATCTTTGGTGCAAGGCTCGGTGGGATGTCTGTTTTGCTGTCCATGCTATCTTTAGTTCTTGAAAAGTTCCTTTACAAACTAAAAACTGATTTAATCTGAAAGCTTTAGAAAAGAGATTGCATTTAGTTTGGAAAGAGAAAATTTTGTAAGAGAAATTACTTCAAAAAAATATGCTGTCAAATGGGGTAGTAATAAGGGACTGGTGGGATAAATTGGGACAGTCCTACACCATGGCGTAAAGATGTTATAGCAGTTAAACTAATTAAAATATTGCAAAACTAGAATTAGAGGTATAAACTTCAACATTTTTCCTATCTATGTAGAATAAAGGAAGCTAAGAAAGCATATATTTACTAGCTCTAAAAATTTGTTGAAAAAAATGTTTAAAAATGATATTTTGGAAAATCACTTCTGCTGAGGTCTGTAGTGAAAAATATACACTGTATTAAAAAATTACGCCTGAAAAAACTTGCAGACAAGTGTTGGCTTTACAACTTTATTGATGGAATTTGCGTACCTTAATCAAAAACAAAATGGCAGCCAATTCTGTAAGACAGGGACCTTACACGGAAAATCTATTTTCTATTTTTAGGAAAGGATCATCTCCAAACTTGGTACACATATGTAAAACAGAATTCTAAGACTATTTTGTTCATGTGAATTTTTTGAAAAAATGAAAGAAAACATGAAATTCATAGAAAACGGCCAAAAGGGGGGGTACTCAAAAAACTCGATTCCACTCAAGGATGATGGGAGCGGCTGCTAGCGCACCTCCCCGTGTGCTGTCTACTAAAGTAACTGAGGTGCACTTCGTGTAGACGCTCTATTTCAAGTGTTTGGTAGCTAATTACTTCCATAGGGAATTATTAAAGAGCCCCCACCCTACCCCCCTTTTGGGATCTGTAGTGAAGGTATAAACAGAGGTGGGCAGTAGCACGCTACATGTAGCGGCCGCTACATTTTCAGTAGCGGTAGCGGCTCTACATTTAAGGCAATGTAGCGGTAGCGGTAGTGCCCGCTACATATTTAAGTAGCGATACGAGGTTTTGCCGCTACAGCGCTACCGCTACATTTATAGATAAAGCCTTTAGATTTTACTTAAGGGGACCGGCTACCCTCCAACAAAACTTTTTTGTCTACAGACAGATCGTTTTGAAACTTGGTACACATATGTAAAACAGAAATCTAAGACTTTTTTGTTCATGTAAATTAAAAAAAAGTGAAAGAAAATGTGGAATTATTAGAAAACGGCAAATAAGGGGTACTCTAAAAAATTTATAACTTCTGCAAATCACATGCTACAATGTCGAGACACATATCATTCGATTTGTAGCAACAATATCTAGCAACTGTAGAGCCCCGATTTTGATTTTCCTTATCGTTTTTTTTTATTCGCATTCTTCCCATTTTTTCACATTTTAAATAATGACATATAAATACCATATATTTGTAAATAATGATATAAAATGATCATTTTATAAAAGTTTAAGACTGCATTACACAAAAAAGTATTGCATGTACATCTATGGTAATAGCTTTGTTGAACGCGTCTCATTTGTAGCTTTCAAACGAGTGCAAACACTTTGTAGTCAACGACAGTAATGATCTATATATACAGATTTAATTCAAATAAATCTTTGTACATATTGTTAAAAATGTTCATATATATATTTTTAAAATTGTCTTACGCAAAAATTATAGCACACACAGACATGCGGTAAACTGCATTAGACGCGCCTTTTCAGCAGCTACAAATGAGTCAAGAAAACGGTAAAGCCAAAATTTCCGATTTTTAGGGTAGCCGGTCCCCTTAATAGTATTAAATATTATTTAAAAACCAGCATGATGCATACATAATATAAATAATTAATTACAGAATAAAACTGTACAAAAGATTTTGGTGTAATGTTGTCAACCTCAGCCTGTTACTAGTGTCAACATTTTAGTTGTTACCTCTTAAGTTGTTACCAGTTACCACTTACAGGTTTTTTTCATCTTTCAGTTTGCTTACAGTTATTTTTACACAGTTATTTTTATGTTTCACCTTCCCTACAAGGATGTCTACTTTAATCTACCAATCTCAAAAATAATCCACATATATATACAAAAAAGACTGATTTTTATATGTATATGTGGATAATTTTTTAGATTGGTAGATTAAAGTTCACATCCATGTAGGGAAGGTAAAACATAAAAATAACTGTAACTTTTATTTACTGTATCTAACCCATACTAGTTCGGTTAGGTTAATTGCAATAAAGTTGCATTGATATGTTTTAAAAATGTTTTATTATCATTAAATGTTAATGAGTAAATCCCAATAGCAGAACAATAAATATTAAGAGATTTCTAATAATTTTGGCCATTGTTGCGGCTAATGTAGCATGCTACATTTTACTGTAGCAGTAGCGCCCGTTACAATCTAGTGGATGTAGCGGTAGCACCTGCTACATTTAGAGCATGTAGCGGTAGTGATAGCGGAGCTACATTTCAAAGTATGGCTGCCCAGCTTTGGGTATAAATCAGCGTATAGAGATGGTTTTGGTACCGTTGAATGCATAAAAAAAGCAGCTTTAAGATGAGTATAGTAACTGGAGAATTTCATAATTGGCCGCTTTACGTCAAACAATTTACTTTGTAGTGAACGGCAGTGTAATTACTCCTTTGACTTTACTGAAGGGGACCGGACACCCGCCCCCCTTATGGGATCTGTAGTGAATGCATAAATCAACGTACAGAGATGGTTTTGGTACCGTTGGATAGGTCAGAATGTTAGCTTTAAGATGAGACTAAAAATCCGGAAAAGCCAAAATCCAAAATTTTGCTATGTAAGGTCCCCTTAAAGGCCCCCCTTAAAATACATTTAAAGTAGAACCTTGGTCAACAAAGGCTCCAGTCAACAAAAAAGTTGGTTACTGACAAAGAATCTTGATTAAATTTACCTATCTCAGCATATAAATTTCACTTGACAAAAAATTTATGCATCATTGGTCATCACAAAATTGTGCATAGAATGTTATAGACATGATTATGCACCTGGCAACATAGAATGAAAAGTTATTAACCTAAAGTATGATTTATTTCTCCAAAAAATATGACGATTGTCACTAAAATATTCCTTTCTGTTCCAGGTATATTTTTATGATCTTTTTCTAATAGTAAATTAATTCACTTGAACCAATTAAAATGATGCAAAATTACAATCCCAGTCCTGAAGGAAATGCTGTATGATTGCTGATATGAAGCTTGCAGTAAACAAGGTCATTGTCATTGGAATGGAAGTTTTTTTGAGGTTTTTGAAAGTGTTATGTATAGAAAGAAAAAATAGTTTTGGTTAATGAAATGGATACAGTTATATCATCACTAAAGGAATAACAAGTACAAATCACAGTAAAAATTTTTTCTACATCTACATCATCAACAAATGAAGAGGAGGACTTTGGAGCACTGTTACTCACACAGTGTTAGTAATGAATGAGTACACTCTGCATGCTTCAAAGTTTCAAACATTAAAAAATCAAGTTTTATTTCAACAGTCCCAGATTACCCTGTACCCAAGGGTAATTTGGGACACTGTTTTTATGCTTCTGATACCTTATGAATAGCATATGGAATTTTTCAGAGATGCCATACAATAGCCCTCACAAGGACTTTTAAAATGAGCCCAAACTCATTTATGAAATGTTTCATGGTAAGACTACATCAACAAAAATGAAAAAATTGTCAATTATTACCCTATACAACACAACCTAAAAATGGAAGTAGACAACAAACTAAATGTTTTCTCCCTTTAACTTCTTGAATTTTGTTAGAGTTTACACATGGTATCATGATATGACTCAGAGAGAAAAAGTTAAGCTTTAAAAACTTTGGTTCTACAATCATGTAAGATTACAGACATTATTTAAAAAATATAACTCAGTACTCACTGCAGTGAGTGACAGAGAGTGCATTTTCTTGTTGACAAAAACTTGAGGTCACAGACAGACAGACGGACATGGCGAGCACAATAGTGCATTTTTTCCATAAATGAGAAAATACGCTAAAAGGCAAGAAACTCATCTTAGCAGTTTAGTTGGGCTCCAACTTGAGCAGTTGGGCTCAAGTTCACCACCTACCCTCAGAAACCAATCTGAAATATCAAGCAGAATTTCCCAATAATTGTGGGCAATGGGCATGCATGGTAATGGAACCATGGTCTAGAAGGTGCGGTGTATATACCAAAGGTTTATTTTGGGATGCACACCAGGTAAGAAAGTTGCCGATATGCATGATAAAAAAAATGATAGTCCAACTCTGACCAATGCCCAAAGCAGCCCAATGATTGACAGTGACACGTGCGCTATTGCCGCTATATGATCTATCATTTATGTGGCCAATACCTGATAGGCTGATGCTGATGATTAACATGGATGCACAGCGATGGCAGCACGGGCTCTACAGTCTACAATAAATTTGGCCAATGGCAATGCATGATGATTGATGATCAACACAGACAAACCCGCTCTCGGCTCTACAATTGATTTGGCCAAATGCCTTATGATTGATACTTATGCACTGATAATCAGGGTGTTATTCTAGAAATGGAGGTTCACTTATAAAAAAGCTTTCCACTCAAGGTGGAATGCTTTCCCTAGATACAGTGCTCTGCAGTCTGTCAAGTGAGTGACTATAAATGAAAAGGAGGATCAAAAGTGGACAAACTGTTTCTATTGTATAGTACCTCAGATTTGCTATAAAATTGTTTGAATGTCTCTTTATTGATAGATATTTTCTATTTTTCTTTTATTTAATGGATTTTTGAAAATTTTCCAGGTTTTTTGTTTGTAATGATCAAGTTAAAAGTGGAAAGTTCCTGGCCTTTCCAAGCTTTCAGGTCCTGCTTTCCAATATGCTATGTGTACTGGTTAATTTAATATCCCTTTAGAATTCCACACTGCTGAGTGATAATGCACACGATTCTTTTTGATTGTCTGATCAATGTGGCCAATGCTTGATGAATGCAATGATCAACACTGATGCTGCGATCAGTGGGATGCACACACTGATAGTAAATTTACAATCAATGTGGACATTGGTCATTGAACAATGTCTGATCTGATGAGTGATAATTGACATTTGACATGGACATTGGACAGTAAGGATGATGAAATAAAAATCAAGTATTAAAGTTATAGGCAAATTTCAACTGTGAACTGAATAACTTTGATTGAGGATTAAATTTTGAATTAAAATTGTGAAGATAAATTTGGAAAGCTATAACCCATAGGCCATAGCCGCCATACCATACCTTGAGTGTTAGAATGTTATTGAACTCTAAATATTAAAATACCCAAGTCTAATTGGAACATTCTGAAGAAATTCATGTCTGAATTAAACTTGTAACTTGAACATAATCCAGTGTAAAGATAAAATTGTAAATTCATTGGACTAGATATTAAACAGCTAGGTAGGCAGCCCAGCTCATTCAATTATTACCTAGCACTCAGCTAGCAGGCCAGGCTAGCAGCCCAGCCTGGGCTGCTAGGTAATAATTGAATGCTCATCTTTGTGCCCAGGCTATTTGCTCATGAAGATAAATAAATCACCCCTAACTTTGAACTCGTACACCAGCACTGCACCTGCTGCCCTGCAGCTCTCCATTATCCTAATATTAGGCGCTTTAGGCCTATTAGGGAACTAGGACTAGGCTAGCTATCAAACCAATTCAATCGTCTAGTTAATTTTATCATCAGAATCCCTCATAATAACACAGAAAACATCACTTACCATTTACCAACCTATTTCCCCTTAAATCTTTTTTTAGTGTCACACCAGTCACCACGCTCCAAATCCTACGACCATTGAATGATTGATGATTAAACCGTGGCTGTAAACGGAAATCTACTGCCTGCAGCAGATTTCCAGGGGAGCGCTGCCTTAGCCCAAAAATTTGACTCTTAAATCAACCCAAGAGCCAATGCCAACCCTCTACATGCAATAGAAATAGTCAGCATAACACCTATGCAGCTGTTCTTACTTGCCTCATCTCGCCACACCAGCTTGAAAAAAGCAATGATTCAGCCCACAAGCTGATACTCCAAACGAATTACGCCCAATAGCTCCTACACCGATGATTTAAGCCCATACCATCACTTCTTACAAATGCCGTAGGCCACAGGGTCCGCAGACCGCACCAGACTGCCATAAATGGGAACGGCCCTGCACCGGACTGTCGCATCACTTTACCCACTTCGCAGGCGTAAGCCCAGCCCTGACGCTCACCAGTATCTTCTTCCTCCACACTTACCCCCTTCTCTCCACCTTTCCACGAAAGGGTTAGGTTAGGTTTGGTTAGAATTCTTCCGCAAGTTGGGACCGAAAGGAGGGGGAGCAGGGGGTAAGCGTGGAGGTTTAGCCTCCAGAAGAACGGAAGGGCTGGAGAGGTAGCAGTGTACTGATAGCACTGTGGCGCAGGGCGTTCTTTATCAAAAGTGGGGAAGGGGTTAGGCTGCGTGGAATAGAAATATTTTGGGATTTAGCGTGTGGGTTACGACCATTGTATTTGCGGCCTGCAGCTCATTGGCTTGCTGGTTTACATCCATGAAGGGGTTTGGTCCCTGTGGCTTTCAGCAAGTAATCATGTTGGCTAATTTGCTCTGCAGCATGCTTGCGCGCGGCATGGGGAGAAGTATGAAAATTATGCAGGTATTGGGCAAGGCTGGGCTATTTCAGTCGTCCCATTTCCAGCAGAGCAGAGCTCAAGTGTTTTCAGTTCAATCCGCCTATCTTCTTCTTTTCCGGTGTCCACGCTGGGTGGACTTAAAGCCGCAGGACAACCACAAGGATGACCGTTGGGCCTGAGAGCTTCTGAAGAATCCGCCTATCGACAATCACTACAAAACATATGCTTGGAACTTTTGACCAAATTAATGGCCATTTCATAATGTTTTGCAGAGTTGCCAGCCGTTTTCTTGGCAAGAATACCAGATTGCTTATCTCAAAATACCAGAAATTCTATTATTCAAAAGACTAATTCCTCCAAATTTAATGACACTATCCGTCAGAAACGTTGGTTAGAAAAGGAAGCAAAAAAATATCTTATGTACTGTGCATTCATCTAGCTTGACGCTAATTAGCCATAATTAACACGTTATATTTTTCCATCTGTTTGGAACATGTTGACTCTTTTATTTTCTCGTGTTTGAAGAGACTTTTTATCACAAAGTGGCATTTCTTCTCCTTCGCTCAACATGAGCAAACCAAGGAAACAGGTCATCTTCCTTTTGCTTATTTTCTTACATGCTTTCATATTGCATTTATCTAACATTTTGGGAGTGATCACTTGTTGCAGTTGGGCAGATAGCTTTTAGTCCGAATAAAGGACTCCAGTACCTTAGTTTAATTGTATTTCAGTGCTTGTATTTTTTTTTTTTCAAATTATTGGAGCACTGGAAACTAGTCCATAAAGCCCCTTGCCTAAAATGGCTTTGATACCTAACAGTCTAACAGCTCTGAAAGTGAAAATCTGAAACAAAGAGAGAACACACACAAAAAAAAAAAATAATAATAATAATAAAATGAAATAAGAAAGAAAAATGAAATAAAATATAAATACAAATTAAGAAATACAAAAAATAATAATAAAATATTTTTGAACAAAAGGACAATAAAATATAAAATGCAATAACGTAACATAGCGTAGATGGCGAACCCGTTGAAGAGAACAAGACATGGCAGAGCCGTGAAGCATATCTATATACACCTGCATCTTTATCTATACATCATATCATATCTATATACACATGGGCCTCCTCGGAGAGGCGGCCCAACAACCAATTCAACTTGTGCATGAAAAAAAAAAAATATATATATATATAAATAAAAATTCAACTTGCACACAAGACAAAAGGAATCAATACAGAGAAAGAAATCAAATAAAATAAAAATTTCCAGACCAGTTAGTTGCAATATCCATGCCCTGAACTGAGCCTCACATGAGTATGCACAAGTTACTGAAGGTCCAGCCTGGGTGGGGGCAACCTGGAGCTTCTTAAGATCAAGTTGGTAAAACAAATTATGACTATTGTATAATCACTGTGCAGTATACTTAGAAGAAAGCATAACTCCTGTTGGCTTTTCTCTGAGGGAGCAAGTATCAAAGTCAATTTAATGGCAAGCAGTAACAGTCTTTACAAGGCAGTCTTGGTACATGAAATTATGAACGCATATTGATCCTAAAACAATACTGGGCCTAACAATGAAT